GTACCAAAATAAATAAATAAATAAATAATGACTTAATATTCTTTTAAAATCAGAAGGCACTAACAGGATTCCTGAACAATAATTGGAGAAACCATGTCAACTTCCTACACTCTCTTTCAGAAAACAAAAGTAAACAGTATACTTCCTAACTCAATCTCAGAGGCCAGTATCATCTTAATACTAAAACCAGATAAATACGTTACAAAAAAAAAAACAAAACTACAGACTAGTTATCTTTTGTGAATATATATGCAAAAGTCTTCAGGAAAATATCAGCAAATCAAATCCAACAAGAAGAAACTAAACACTACAACCAAGTAGGATTTAATCTAAGTACACAGGTCTGCTTGGCCCAACATTCAAAAATCAAATAGTACTATTTATTGCATCAGCAAAACTAAAGAAGAAAAATCACATGATCATATCAATCAAACAAAAAGCATCTGATCATATGCTAAAACAACTGACAACCACCAATATCCATTCATATTAAAAAAAAAAAAACTCTCAGTAAACCTAGAATGTAAGAGAACTTCCGAAAGATGATGAAGGGCAAATTAAAAAAATATAAATTATCTATATCTAACATTATGCTTAATAATGAAAGACTAAATTATTTTCCATTAAGGGAATCCAGGAACCAAGCAAGGCTGTTCATTCTCACAATCCCTATTCAACTTTTCTTAATTCATTCATTTTTAGTTTTTTCTTTTGCTTTATTAGCATATGTATGTAATACATGTTTACATTGTGTGAAGTTGGTACGTCTACATAACACATCTTGATTTCCTTTTTCATCTCCTTCCCTTTCCTCTCTGTCCTCTAGATCCACTTTCTCCTTCTTGTCTTTTTTCAACTTTATAATAGAAGGCCAAGGCAATACTTTAACACAAGAAAAAGAAAACCTTTCCCTGTACTGAGAAACAAAACTCACCCATCTTTATTAATTACATGACTATTTATAAAGAAAATCCTAAATAACCTATTAGAACCCATTTAAAAGCTGCTTAAAGAATCAATTATTAAAGTTAGGAAAATCTTGAGGTAGGTGATCAACAAGAAAACCAACTGTATATTAAACAAAAATGTGAATGTTACTTAACCATACATTAAAAATTGCTTTTAAATGGCAATACTTAAATGATGTACATTTTCCACAATTTTTTAAAATAACAGGATCAGGAAATTAAACAGAAAGGATATCCTAAGAGAAGTGAGAACTTGTAAGCTTTTATTAAAAGTTTTAAAAATAAATTGTATTTATACATATATATTGACAATAAGTGATGATGAAATAACACTAAAAAACATTAAAGAGGTTAATATCAAAATTTGTCCAAGATCTACATACTAAAAAGTATACTAAAACACTAATGAAGTTTATTTTTTAAAAACTAAGTCTATGAAAAGATATACCATATTCATGGATTGGAAATTCAAAATTGTTAAGATGTCACTTCTCTTTAAATTTATGATCCCAATCAAAATTCCAATAGAATATTTTGCAGAAAACTGCAAGCTGATTCTAAAATTTCTATAGTAAGAAAAAGTAACTAAAATAGGCAAAAAAATTTGAAAAGAAAAAAAGTTAGGAGGACTCAACCAGATTTCAAGACTTTCAAGAAAGCCATAAAAATGAACACAATGTGGCAGCAGCAGAGAGAGGCACACAGATTATGAAGGAACAGAATATCCAGAAATACACACACATACATGGCTAACTGATTTTCAACAAAACTACAAAGTCACTTAAGGAAATAATGCTCTTTTCAACAAATAGTGTAGTCTTTTTTGACATTTATATGGAATGAAATGAGCCTCACACTATACATCACAGCATACAAAGAATTTAATTCAAACTGGATTATAATCTTAACAGTAAAAATAAAGTAAAACCATAATACTTTTTAAAGAGAAAATTATTACCTTGGATTAGACAAACATCTCTTAAATACCACACCAAAAAGTATGAATCATAAAAGACAAAACTAGTAAACCGTACTTCTTTTAAGCTATAACAAGATCAGATGACATCTGCAAAGATGATGAGGCAGTAAACAGCAACAAATCAGCCTCTTTGCTAAGACATAGAAGCAAAATGCAAACCCAGACCTCCAGCTTACCTGGAGCAGAGCCACAGTGCATTCAGGTAGCAAAAATCAAAAGCCACCCACCCAGCTGAACTTTCTGAAAACATAGCAGCAAAAGGAACAAGGCAGATGAATGAGGCTCCACAAAAAGCAAATCAGAAATAGTTCCACAAATATCTAAAGAGATGATGACTACAATGAAGGAAATAAATCTACACTAAATGCAGATTAAAAAGTATAGAGGAGCTTAGAAGTGATGGAAACCATGAATATCCAACATAGAAAAGAACTAGATTGCATGAACAGATTCAAACAGATACTCAGAGGATTAAAAATCCTATTGAAAGTATACCCAGCAGAATCAAGCAATGGGAGGACAGAATACCAGATATAGAAGACGGGTTTGCAGTTGGCAATCATAAAGACTTCTCAAAAATACCATGGGACTACAAAAAAAAAAAATCCAATAACTGTTAGATGATGCAAAAGAGGATAATATAAGATCTCAGAATCAATGAAAAATCAGAAGATATCATAAAAGACATAAAAAGCTTGTTCACAAAAGTAATGGCAGAAAATTTCTCAAGCATGGAAAAAGACTTTCACACATAAAAAAGTGAGGCATACAGAACTCCAATTAGCCATTATCAGAAAAAATACTACATCAAGGCATACAATAGTCAGGATTTCAGAAATTCAACACAAGAACAGAATATTAAAAGATGTTTGAGAAAAGAAACAAATCACCTGCTATGGCTTGTGCCTTGATGTCCACCCAAATCCTCATGGGGTCATAAGTGGGACTTTTTCAGAGGTTCCTGGATCTAGTCTAGCATGTGACACTGGAATTGATTCATGGTGCAATCCTAGGATCAAGGGTGTGAGTGCCACCCACACTAAGCAGCCTGGATAAGCTATAAGGGATAGAAAGAGCTGTGATCACCTCTTCCTTGTTTTGCTACCTTCTACACACAATGAAATTTTTCTAGAAAGAGAAGAGCAAGTTAAAGTCAAAGTACTTATTATGGAGGAAATTATGATCAAAGCTGAAATCAATGCAATTGAGACTAAACAAACAATACAAAGAAACAAAGAGTTGATTTTTTGAACAATCAAATAAAATAGACAACCCTGTAGGCAAACCTTCTCAAAAAAAGGAGAAAAAAGACTCAAATCCACCCACATCAAATTATGAATGAAAAGGGTGAAATCACAACAGATCATGCAGAAATCCAGATGAACATAAATACCAACTTTGAGAACCTGTGCTCTAATAAGATGGAAAATGCAGAAGAAAAGGACAGATTCATGGATAGATATGAATTACCAAAGTTGAATCAAGAAGATATAAAACTTCTAAATAAGCAAGTATCAGTCAATGAAAGTTAAGAAGTAATAAAAAATAATGCCAACAAAGAAAAAAGCATAGGTCCTAACAAATTCACTGTGAATTCTACAAAAAATTCAGAGAGGACCTATTGCCTCTCCTCAAATTTTTTAATGAAACTGAAAGGAAAGCAATACTCACAAACTCAAACCTGGAAGTAAGCATTACCCTGAACTACAAAAATCTAACCAAAAAAAAGAACTACAGGTCAATGTCCTTAATGAACATAGATGCAAAAATCCTCAATAATATACTAACAAACAAAATGCAGCAAAACACCAAGAAATTAATAAACCATGACCAAATAGGATTCATCCCAGGTGCAAATCAATAAATGCAATACACCACATTAACAGAACCAAGAACAAAAACCACCTGATCATGTCAATAGCTACAGAAATAGCATTTGACATGTCCAACAGAATTAATTGATTAAAAACACTACAGGAAATGGAAACAGAAGGTCTTTATCTCAAATGTGATTAAAGCCATCTATGATAAAACAACAGCCAACATCATACTAAATGGTCAAAACTGAAAGACTTCATTCTAAAATTGGGAACAGGATGCTCATTATCACCACTCCTATTCAATTTACTCCTGGAACATTAGTCAGAACAATTAGACAAAAGCAATAAATAAAAGGAGTAAGGATAGGAAAGAAAGAAAATAAATTATAAGTATTAGCACATGACATGACAATCTACATAGAAGACCCTGAAACTTTACCAAAAGACTCCTTGATTTAATAACCAAATACAGTAGCACAGCAGGATACAAAGTCAACACTTAAAGATCAGTAACATTAATTCCTATATGCAAATTAACAAACTTACTGAGAGTGAAATTAGGAAAACAACAACTTCTACAATAGCACCCAAAAACCATGAAAAACCTAGAAATCAATCTAACAAAGGGTGTAAAAGACCTCTATATTGAAAACTTCAGTACTCTTCAACCTCATCCCCTTTAAACTATCTGAGTAATAAAATTTTCCTCATCCATTTCATTTTCCCATCACCACAGGTCTCAAAAGTGTGTCCATGTGTATTGTACCAAGACTACCAGAAAGGAGAAGTGAGCATTGTACTGTTTTAAATTATTATTTACAGCAGTAAATCGCATTCAACTTCCAAACAAGAGATTTTAGTAATTAGTATCTGGTCTTAGGAGGATTTGTGCTCCTCTTGATTCGGTCTTTAATTTTGGTCTAATAAATTTCTTCCCCCTCTTTGTTTGAATCATGAAATTAACTGCAATTGCAAAATCCTGGAGAAGGATTATGATGTATAGAAAGCCTAGGTCTGTTACGTTTTACTGAGATTCTCAAAAACAGAATGATCATTATTCTGAAGAAACAGTTCCACCTAAGACATCCAATTCTATCTGCAAACCTTAAGATCAGTTCAGTAATATTCAAGTTAGAAAAAGCAATATGTTGCTAGGGAAAACTTTGATTTTATCAAATTCCACTCATAATTCCTCCCCTTAAAGCAAACAATGTATGACTTAATTTTTCTCACCTCTTCTCCTGAAAGGTAGTACGCTGCAAGCAGGCCTCCAATAAATCGAATGTTAACTTCAAATACAGACACCTCTGAATTCTGTGAAAACATATCAAAAATATTCATAAATACATGTTTTACAGTTTTTTTTGAAATATTTCCATTACATCATTTCACACACTCTATAAGAATATTTTCAGTTTCTGCATTTTTACTTCTCATATAATTGCATTCTCACCTCCCATTTGTTAATGTTATTCAAACTCCTCCTACAGTTTCCTATTGCAAAAACCAATGGGCCATTTGCACATACCTTACACAGTATTGTCAAATTAATACATTTGACACTACTGCTCCATCTTCAAGAAGGCTTACACTTCTTGAACACTGGATCTTGAATTCTGGACCAGTACTCTATTGATACCTTTCCTACTAACCACTACAGCATGATTTTTCTCTCTTCTCATAAATTTTAAATATTCTAATAAAAATTTTTCCATATATATGTGTATAAACATATACACACACATTCAATGTTAAAGGATGGACCAAAAGAGGATGGAATTATAGATTACTGCATTAGTATGTTGATAACAGTAGGTGAAAAATTAGTGTAGATACAGCACATATATTATTAAAACAAAAACAAATAATTCAGAAATGTTAAAAAAAATAAAGAAATAGAAGAAAATGTGACAATACAGAAACTTCCTTGAGAAAGCAGGTAATGAGTTAGCATAAATTAAGCACTGTAGTTTCAGTAACAAACTGACGACAGACTTAAAATTTCCCTAAACTGCAAGTTATCTCTAAGAGTAAAACTCATGAATATAATAAAAGGCAAACAAACTGAAGCAAGTTGGCAAAAACATAGCAATATTAACAATCTATATATGTAACTATATACAGTAGAGTCTATATGTTTCTATTTAGATATGAAATATATATATTTGGAAAAATTCTAAAGAAGTGGCAGACTATGACCAAAGAATCCACATAAGCAACTAATATAAAAATAACATTCATAATTCATTTTTAACTAAAAAGGAAATGAATTACTCTGAGGTCTTTCTAATACACAAAGGCAGAAAACTCATTAACTAGCCCAAGTATATTTCCAGTATACTTTCACGATACAATGTTTTGATAACATGGTGTTCATCCCATCCTACTCCAAAAGCAAAATGCTTAATATACAGTATTCCCAAACTATAGCTACTGCAGGGCACATATTAGACCTTCACTAAAAATAGGGAGGGTCTCTAATACTCATCAAAATGTAGCAATAACTTTCAAGATAGTTCCCTTGCTTTCGTGTATTCCCTCTCTGCATTACATTCAATGCCTCGTGGTTAAAATGACCATTTCAGTTTTACCTCAGTTTAGCTCACTACTCTGTGAAAATCTTCACAGTGGCCTCTGGTTACACTCAAGAGTAAAATGACCAGTAAGACACCATATGCTCAGATCCCCCCACACCCTTTCTAATACCTCTCCTGTCAAAATCCTTTTGATTCACTTCACTATATGGACCTATTTGCTGTACCCCGAATTGCAAACTTGAGACTTACATATCAGTTTTTATACTTGTTACCCTCTGCTCTGGATGATTGTCCATCTAACTAAATGAATCACTATCATTTCCTACAGTTCTCTGAAGAAATATAACTTTATCAGGAACTTTTTCTGACCACCCAACATAAGTAATCACCCATCATTGATATCCTTTACCTTTCATAATTTCTCCAATTAAATGATAATTACTTATAAAATTACTATCTTCTCTCACTAGAGAGAAAGAAAAAAAGGGAGAAAAGGGGAAAAGGAATTACTGTAAGGGTAATGACTAAATCTTCTGAAGTTGCTGAAAACATAAATCCTCAGTGTGATGAAATATTACGAATCTTTTAAAGAATAATCTACACAAAGACAGATGGTAACAGAATACTAGAAAACTATAAAAAAGAAACATGCAAACAATAAAAGGCAGATTGCCTCTTAAAAACAAGACTAATACTATACTTCACAAAAGCATAGCAGAAGCAGAAAGACAAGTAACCACGACTTTAAAAGGCTAAGAAAATAACCTCTAATTCTATTCTCAGCTATACTATCTATTAATAGAGAGCCTTATAGCTACACACACAACTTCCCTTGAGTTTCTTCTCAGAAATGACACCTTAACAAAGAATTGTTCAAAAGCCACCCCATGTAAAATAGCAATGCCTCACCTCCAGTTATAATGCTATTTTTTCTTCATTATTCTGCACACCACTTACCACTGTATGACACAACATACAAGAATAACTGTTCAATGTTCTTTCCCAATACTGGAATATAACCTCAAAAGATAAGGTTCTGTATTGTTCATTACTACAGCCACAGAACCAGAAAAGTTCCCGTTGCAGAGAAGATATTCAGCAAATATATTTATCTATTCATTAATTTGAAATATTAAATAATATTTGGCACCAACTAAATCATAGTACAGTACACATAAGACAAGAGAGATATGAGCAAAGTTAAAGCATTCCAAGATCCTCATGTTCTTCAGAAGGAAAAAGAAATTGACTACAGGGCCAGGGATTTAGCTCAGTGGTGCCACACCTGCCTTGCAAGTGCAAGATCCTGAGTTTGATCCCAGGTAACCCCCCAAAAAGAAAGAAAGAAAAGAAAGAAAGAAAGGAGAGAGAGAGAGAGAGAGAGAGAGAGAGAGAGAACGGACGGACTTCAGTAATTTTAAACTTTGATAAGCAATTACATAAAACTTTTAAAGAAACCCCAAAATGAATTGCAATGAGTAAATAGAAAACTAGTGAAAAAAATTAAATCATCTAGTTAAACTGTATTTGGTGGCATCTGGTATTACCTAAATTCCAATTCTCTCCAAATTAATACACAAAAGCAATCCACATGAAAATGTCAATATTTTCCAGAATTTGAAATAACAAAGGGCTAAAAAAGAAAATAATTTCCTTATAAACTAATCACAGCTATCAAAATTCAGACAGAGATATCAAACTTCTAGGACATGGAGAATTCATTGTCAGCCTGGACTACAGTCTGAGACGTTTAGCTCAAAAAACCAAAAAAAAAAAAAATAAATACTATACATGAGACAGTTTAGTATTGATGCAAGGATAAAGATAAAAGCCAAAGGAAAAGAGCAAATTTATATAGCAAATATATGACTAGTATGGTATACACACACAGGAGGGAAATAAATGGTGTTAGGGTCAACTGATAGTTAATCTCATCCTACATACCAAAAAAAAAATCAATTCCATATGGATTAAAGACTAATATAAAAGCAAAACTTTAAAATCTTTTACCACATAAAGTATACAAATATAACATCCTCAAATAAAAGAATATATTCTTATGGCCTTAGAGTAGAAATTTCATATACCAGGTATTAAAACAGTACAATCTGTAAGACCTATGGAACTACACACAAACACACACACACACACACACACACACACACACACACACACTCTACATTTTTCACCCTCTCTGTACACTGAGGTGGGACTATATGAAGATCTATCCAATAGCATACGAACAAATTTAAACTGACCAACTCCTGAGAGGTGTTATTAATGAACAGTCATTAATCTGCTCTATTTCTTCCTCCTTTTTGCCAACTGAACGGTAGATAAGAGGCCTACATCTTGAGAAACCAATTTTTTTTTTCAGTATGGTTACAGCTTTACACAAAGTGAAGTTGACAAGACCCAGTAAGACAAGGGATCCTAAGCTACTGATGATCAAGGAGCTACCCAAAACACTGCTTACCTCTGTACTTGATTTGCATGAACGATAAATAAACATCTATCTTATTTCAGTTATATTATAGGTTTTCTGTCACTCGCCGCCAAACCTAAATATGATAGAAATTATTCTAAGATACATCAATAAACATGTCTAGCATTAAAAATGCTAGAGCAACATAAAAGGAGATGACAGTTTTGTCTAGTTAGCACCAGGAAAACCATGAATAAAGAAATAAATAACAGATTTAAATCACAATTTAAATAATGAAGAATGCCAAAAAGAAAAGTGAAAGAGAAGCAGTGGAGGGTACTGTACAGTCAAAACGAACACAGCAAGCACAAACACATGGAAGATGAGAATGACTATGAAAAAACAGTCCACACATCTTTTAGGTGAAGACCAGTAATCACAAAAATGACTGCTATCGTGAACAGAGCACAATTATATACCAGATTATCTCAAATAATTCTCACAATATTACAATAGGACAACACTTTTATGATAAATTTACAAAAAATAAACATTCCTAAAGACAAACAGATAGACCATAGTTGTGCTGGGCTTCAAATCTAAGTGGTACCACAACACAAAAGTGCTAGAAGGATGGGCACTGGCCAAAATATGACGGCTCATTAAAGCTGTATTGTATCATTAAATCTTTAAAAATCCAACTTATTACTTATGGAGTTTATAGTTTCCTGATATATCTAACTCACTGTTCCCCACCACCACCACAAATTAACACAATGCTTCAAATGAGAAGGACAAAAAAAGTAAAAGGAAGGTGGTGAGAAAAGGTATAGGTTTTATGTGAAAAAGTGAAAACTGACAGAAGACAGAGGACTTAGTATTAAGATTTCCTTAAAAAATGCTAGTATCAGCAAACAGAATACAGAGGATTATTAAGAAGATCATCCATCATGACCAAGTCGGATTTATCCCAGAGATGCAAGGGTGGTTCAACATACGAAAGTCAGTGAATGTAATACATTATATTAACAAAGTCAAGGACAAAAACCATATGATCCTTTCAATAGATGCAGAAAAAGCATTTGATAAAATTCAACACCCATTCATGATAAAAACCCTGCAAAAAATTGGAATAGATGGTCTATACCTCAATTTAATAAAGGCTATTTATGAAAAACCATCAGCCAACATCATATTGAATGGCCAAAAACTGAAAACCTTCATGTTAAAATCAGGAACAAGACAAGGATGCCCACTATCACCACTTCTCTTCAATATAGTTCTGGAAACATTAGCCACAGCAATTAGACAAGAGAAAGAAATTAAAGCAATAAAGATAGGAAAGGAAGAAGTTAAACTATCATTATTTGCTGATGATATGATACTCTACATTGAAGATCCAAAAAACTCCACCAAAAAACTTCTAGACTTAATTGACAGATTCAGTAAAGTATCTGGATACAAGGTGAATACCCAAAAATCAATAGCCTTTCTATACACAAATAACAGACAGACAGAAAGAGAAATAAGGGAAAAAATTCCTTTTACAATAGCATCCAAAAAAATGAAGTATCTAGGAATCAATCTAACAAAAGAAACAAAAGATCTCTACACTGAAAACTACAGCACTCTGAAAAAAGAAATCGAAGAGGATATAAAAAAATGGAAAGATATCCCCTGCTCCTGGGTAGGAAGAATCAACATAGTGAAAATGGCCATACTACCGAAACTGCTATATACATTCAATGCAATGCCAATTGAAATTCCAACACTATATTTCACAGAACTAGAAAAAAGAATCCAAAAATTCATTTGGAACCACAAGAGACCTAGAATAGCAAAAGCCATTATAGGCAACAGTCACATGGCACCAGGTGTAACAATTCCCAATTTGAAACTATACTACAAAGCCACTGTGATAAAATCAGCATGGTACTGGCAAAGAAATAGGCCTGAGGATCAATGGAACAGACTGGAAGACACAAAAACAAATGCAGATGTACTCAGCTACCTCATCTTCGACAAAGGAGCTCACCATCCTCAGTGGAGGAAAGATAGCCTCTTTAATAAATGGTGTTGGAAAAACTGGATATCAACCTGTCACAGATTAAAATTAGACCCTTATCTTTCGCCATGCACTAAATTAAAATCCAAATGGATTAAAGATCTAAATATTAAAACAGAAACATTAAACTTGCTGGAAAGTAAGTTAGGCAGAACTCTGGAAGACATTGGTATAGGAAAAGACTTTATGAACAAATCCTCAGTAGCACGGGAACTAGCAGAAAGAATCAACAACTGGGATCTCATCTTACTAAAAAGCTTCTGTACTTCAAAAGAAACCATTAGCAGAACTAAGAGACAATCTACAATGTGGGAAAAAATTTTTACCAGCTGTACCTCAGACAAAGGACTATTATCAAGGATATATAAAGAACTCAAAACAATCAGTCCCCCCAAATATAAAGACCCGATCCAAAAATGGGCATCCGAAATGAACAGACATTTCTCATACAAAGAAGTGAAAGCAGCAAGAAAATATATGAAAAAATGTTCCACATCACTGGTCATTCGAGAGATGCAGATGAAAACAACACTGAGATTCCACCTCACCCCACAAAGAATGGCTGCTATCAAGAAATCACACAATAACAAATGTTGGCGGGGTTGTGGGGAGAAAGGAACCCTCCTCCATTGTTGGTGGGAGTGCAGACTAGTGCAACCACTATGGAAATCAATATGGAGATACCTCAAAGAGCTTGGACTGGAGGTTCCATTTGACCCAGCCATCCCTCTGTTGGGTATCTTTCCAAGAGAACTAAAAGAATCATATCACAGAGAAGTATGTGCACCCATGTTTATAGCGGCACAGTTTGTAATAGCTAAATCTTGGAAACAACCTATTTGCCCATCCGTTGGAAACTGGATAAAGAAGTTGTGGTTTTTCTATAAAATGGAATATTACTCAGCCATAAAGAGTGAGAGAATAGATTCATTCATAGGAAAATGGATACATATTGAAGATATACTCCTAAGTGAAATAAATAAGTCCCACATGTGTAAATACCAAATAGTTTCCCTGGTGTGAATATTCTGCAACAATGCATAAGATTCTAATAAGATTACTGACATTTAGAAATGGGAGGAAAGGAGCTAAAGGTGTAGGGAAGGTGTGATACGTAGGGGAAGAACAAAAAGGGAAAAGAAAAAAATGTGAGAGAATGAAAAGATGAAAATAAAGTGTTTGTAGATGGGGAGGGGAGGAGGGGGTGAAGGGAGGGCAGAGGTAAGGGGAAAAAAATGAGAATCAAGACTTGCCATGTAAAGGTACATGATCCCAACAATGAAAGTAACTGTACTGTATCCCTAAATGTACCAATAAACTCAATAAAAAAAAAAAAAAAAATGCTAGTATCACGCTTAAAACTATGTTACCATCTTAGGCCACTAGGAATGCTGTCACAACATATATCATAAACTGGGCGGCTGATGAGAGAAATTTATTTCTCACAATTTTGAAAGATAAGAAGTCCAAGATCAAGGTGCCAGGAGATTGTCTTCTGAGTGCCCACCTTCTGGTCCCAGATGGAACCTTTTCACTATTTCCTCACAGTGGAGGCTATTTTATTAGGAAATTAATTTCAGTCATGAGGGCTCTACCTTCTAATACCATCACATTACTATTAGATACTGACATATGAATTTAGCAGTTGGAAAATTTCTTTCCATAGTGAATCTAAGATTAATTATCAATTTTATACTCACCACACTGAAATCAAGGTTGTCTTCAATCCACCTTTGCCCATCTAGGAATTCATCATGAAGTCCCATGATATAAAGGGTATCCAAAGCATCCACTATGGTAGCACCCATTTGTGAGCTTCCTAAATTTGTGGGGGGAGAGTATCATTAAAATAAGTCCCTTCAAAAGGTTCATTATACATAATATTTATATATAATATTTACATGTAATTAAAGAATATACAGGGCCTGGGATTTAGCTCAGTGCTTCTGCCACCTGCCTTGCAAGTGCAAGGACCCTAGTTCAGTCCCTGGTACCAAAAAAGGGTTAAAGGAATACACATACCAAAAAAAGACCCAATATTGTTCATTTTTCCATCAGAAGATGAAATAATGTACATAGTTTAATATATTTTACTAAGGATGGCACATTGATAATAGGAAAATAAACTAAAAAGTGTAATTCTCCTTAATTTTGGTCTGTTCAGAATAAGTAGGTACCTATTTAACAGACATAGGAAAAAGAAAAATTAGAAAAAGTTTAAAGAAAAGGAGAGTTATTCAAACTAAGTCATAGTACAAGCTTGTCCACCTGGCTCAAATTCACAGAAAGGGCAAAAAATAACATTTGGAAAAATAAGTTTACAACAAAACTAGAAAACCATAGTGGCATAAAATTAAAATAATCCTTAAAATCAAAAAACTGGTAAATCATACTAAAAGAAGAAATGATTTTTTAAAAGCTACTCTAATTGATAACAAAGCTGGATACTAAAAACGTAAGATAAGAAAACAGGCCACACTTGTTAATCAAAATAACTGCAATAAATCTTAAATGCAGCAAAGTAAATCTAGTACTGTAGTAAAAGCGTAAGTAACAAGGAGAGGACAGGTTCCCCTCAACTCTATGAATGCTGTTACTATGTCTGTCCTCCGAGAATACAAATCATCCACACAGCTTACTGCCTACATTAACACGGCTTTACTATCTCAATGTCTTCGACAGCATAAATTTACTATTCCCAGAGACTCTTGCCCAGAAAGATAAAAGCTGCAAAAAAAGTAAAACAAAAACTAAAAAATTATTTTTCATTACAGGAAATTCCTGAATTTCTTCAAATGAAAGCTATGACATGATGGTTTACACCTAAAGACTCAAAACTCCCTGTCTCCAAATCCTCCCTTTTCCATTCCAGAACTATTATATCGTGATCGTTACACAAAGTCAACCAAGAACCAACTCCACACACAACACACAACTGAAAGGAATTGCAAACAATTCAGGTTACAAACAGAAGCATTCAGCACAATTTTGCTTCAGTTCATGAACTCTGCATCAGGTGACATTAAATTTTATGAGGAAATTTTATGCAGTTCACAACAAATTTGGTTCGAGACCAGAATCATGGAATAAATTAAGTTCATAAACCAAGGTACCACCACACTACTGAATTAACTACATTTATTAAGATTGGGTTTAAAGTGTATATGTTTAGGTTAATGAGGGATATGGGTCTATAGTAATCCACCTGTAATGACTTTATTGGTTTTGGTTTAGGGTTTCAGTGGTGCTGTCTAGAACACATAATAATCCTAAAAGTATAAACATCTAATTAGAGTACCTCAAAAAGCAAGAGGCAAAAACTGACAGAGTAAAAGATAACCCAATAGGACTGCAATCCTTTCAATAATTGACAGAATTGCTGGATAGAAAATGATTTAGGGAAACGATTCAGGGAAAACCTGAACAAACTATTAGCCAATGGGGGTCTAACTGAAATCAACAGAACATTCCACATAATAATAGCCATATTTTTTCAAGCAAAATGGAAAGTTCACCAAGGAACAGCATATTCTGGATCATAAAGTATCATTTGAAATCAGATGAAGTATATCCTCTGATCACTAACTAAAATTAGAAAACAGTAACAAAAAGACAAAGGAAATTAAATACTTAAAAGTTAAATAACTTTCTGAAGGAAAATTGTAAAATACACTGAATAAAGATGAAAACGTAAAAATCTTTGGGATAAACCTAAAAGCACTTAGCAAGAAATACACAGTGCTAAGTACTAATCTTAAATCAATAATAGAGGGTTATACTTCAAAAAGCTAGGAGAGTTGGGGATATATCTCAGTGGTAGACTGCTTACCTAGCATGTGCAAGACTCTGGGTCCAATCCCCAACACTAAAAAAATAAAAGAATTAAAATACACACACACACACACACACACACACACACACACACACACACACACACACACCCCAACCAAGAGCAAAATAAACCCAACTCATGCAAAAGGACAGAAATATTAAAGAGCAGGAATCAAATAAATCGAAAACATCAAAAGTCAAAAGCTGCTTCTTTGAAAAGATCAGTAAAATTAATAAACTTCTAGAAGATTTGACAGAGAAAATATAAATTATTTATATCAGAATTTAAAAGGGATTATCACAATAGCTACCACAAACATTCAAATGATAACCTGGTACAATATCAACCAACTCTACACACATAGAACCAAACAACTTAGATAAAGCAGAATGACTTTTCAAAAATCAAATACCCAAACATATCCAAGTTGAAACAAATAAACTGAACCATCCTTACAATTAGAGAATTTGTACCTGTAGTTTTAACCAACCCCACCAAAAAAAACTCTAGGTCAGTGATGGCGAACCTTCTAGAGCTTTGAATGATACAAACAGCCTACTACAGCACACATGCCATAGGTTTACCACCACTGCTCTAGGTGAAGATGGTTTCACAGAATAATTAGATCAAACGTTTAAAGGAGAAAAGAAAGCTAATTCTAAATCTCTTCCAGAAAAACAAAACAGAATACCTTCCAACTCATTTTATGAGGCCAGCATTATCTTGATATCAAAGTGAGAAAAAAAAACAGTATAAGAAGTAAAGAAAATCCCTTATGAACATGAAAGCAAAAGTCAGAATATTAGCAAATCAAACTCCAGGTAAGTCAGGAATAATAAAAAGTATACATACATACATCTGTATGCATGAAAAATACAAAAGGCACTACAAAACCTAATATTCTTTCCCAAATCAAAAGTCCTTCTTTCAAATGCAAAAAGAAGGCTAACAGCCAGAGATCTGGCTCAGTGGTCCTGCCACTGGTGAGGGGCAAAGTTCCAAGTTTGATCCCCAGAACCAAAAAAGAAAAAAAAAAAAAAAAAAAACCCAACAAAAAAGTTCACATACAATGCAAAAAGAATGCTCTCTACTTAACAAACTTTTCAATTTTGTGGAACAATTAAGTAAAAAAAAAATGAATTCATTCTAGTAATCGTTGTTGGAATAACTAGCATTAATGTTAATTTACAACATTTCCTTCTCCCACTCACAAGCTCCAGGGACAGATTCTAAGTGGGCAAAATCCATATGAACACATCCTCACTTTCTAGATAGAGCATTTGGTTGAACCATGGACACTACCCAATCACAGAAAATAAGAAACAATGAGTCTTTTAAGGAGATGCCTGTTAAGAAACCCGAGCACTTCCTTTCTGCTGGGCTCTCTTTTCTACAGATGTAATAGTAGTAAAATATAAAACTTCAAACAGCTGCAGCCATAGTGCTACAAAGCCAGCTTGAAGATAGCAACACACAGAGGAAAGAGATAAAGAAAAGTTTAGCTGGAAATCTGATCTACACCAAGGCTTCACTGAGAAGACTGAATTACCTTTTTAGTATAAGCCATTTTGAAAAAGATTTTGTTATCTACACATAGGATGCCAAGGACTAACCAGATAAAAGAGTAACACTGATTTCAGTTACCATATAAAATAATTATTTAATAATCAAAGCTTAAAAAAAGAAAAACAAACGTGCTTTAAACTTTAAACTAACCTAGAATATTGTGAGTAAAAGTTCAATACCCACCTATATGTTAATACAGTGATGGAGATGTACTTCTAACAGCCCTTTCTAACTCTAAGATTGTGATTCTCTCCAAGCATACTGAATTAGATGTCAAATCTTAAAGATATTTTATAAGAAAAAATGCAAAGTTTTAAAATTCTGAAATTACAATCACTAGCAAGAGTATGAGATGAGTAAAAGGAACAGAGTAGGAAACAAGTCTTACACTTTAAAAATTAATTTTTTAATAAACTACATGTCTAAAAACAAAAGACAAAACATGTAATAAAGGATCTATTCCTATTTAGCTTATTTGGCTGGGAAAAACTGTAACCACTAAAAAAATTAATAAAGGTTATAAACACCCAATTTGGATTACTAGATATTCTAAAAATTGCATTTTTGCATTTCCTACACTTCACTATAATTTTCTCCTCACAATAGGTGTTTTTCACGAGCTAAAATTCATGAGTTTTTTAATCTTTAAAATTTACAAAAGTAAGACTAATACATATTTGATACATGGTAACACATTATATGTTCTGAGAAATCTAATTTAGAAAAAGCAGAAAATTAACATTTGCTTCTTATTTTCAATATAGTTACACTGCAATCCTTTAAAAAAGGCTCACAGCCAGGCATGGTGGCGCATGCCTAAATCCCAGCACTCAGGAGGCTGAGGCAGGAGGATTGCTGTGAGTTTGAAACCAGCCTGGGCTACATTGTGAGTTCCAAGTCAGTCTCAACTACATAGTGAGACCCTGTCTCAAAAAAACAAAAACAAAAACAAAAAAAAACCAAAAAGGCTCACAGTTTACCACAAAGCCTAATATATTTAAAAGGGTATTATAGAATATAGGACTTAAAATGGAAACAAAGCTTTTGTAAATAAAGAGGGGAGGAAGAGTTGAAGAAGGGGATGGAGAAAAGAAGAATCAAGATATGTACAGGTACAAATTTCCCTACAATGAACGTAACTGTTAGATATTTATAAAATATACCAATAAAATTAATTTTTAAAAAATTAGGACCTAATATTAACTGTTAAATATAATGTCTTTTAGTGTACTAATTTTGTGACATCCATAAAGCAATGGGAACTTTTCAATCTGTAAACTGTACAGAGCTAATGTAACAAAGTTTTAAAATTCTGAAATTACAATCACTAGCAAGAGTATGAGATGAGTAAAAGGAACAGAGTAGGAAACAAGTCTTACACTTTAAAAATTAATTTTTTAATAAACTACATGTCTAAAAACAAAAGACAAAACATGTAATAAAGGATCTATTCCTATTTAGCTTATTTGGCTGGGAAAAACTGTAACCACTAAAAAAATTAATAAAGGTTATAAACACCCAATTTGGATTACTAGATATTCTAAAAATTGCATTTTTGCATTTCCTACACTTCACTATAATTTTCTCCTCACAATAGGTGTTTTTCACGAGCTAAAATTCATGAGTTTTTTAATCTTTAAAATTTACAAAAGTAAGACTAATACATATTTGATACATGGTAACACATTATATGTTCTGAGAAATCTAATTTAGAAAAAGCAGAAAATTAACATTTGCTTCTTATTTTCAATATAGTTACACTGCAATCCTTTAAAAAAGGCTCACAGCCAGGCATGGTGGCGCATGCCTAAATCCCAGCACTCAGGAGGCTGAGGCAGGAGGATTGCTGTGAGTTTGAAACCAGCCTGGGCTACATTGTGAGTTCCAAGTCAGTCTCAACTACATAGTGAGACCCTGTCTCAAAAAAACAAAAACAAAAACAAAAAAAAACCAAAAAGGCTCACAGTTTACCACAAAGCCTAATATATTTAAAAGGGTATTATAGAATATAGGACTTAAAATGGAAACAAAGCTTTTGTAAATAAAGAGGGGAGGAAGAGTTGAAGAAGGGGATGGAGAAAAGAAGAATCAAGATATGTACAGGTACAAATTTCCCTACAATGAACGTAACTGTTAGATATTTATAAAATATACCAATAAAATTAATTTTTAAAAAATTAGGACCTAATATTAACTGTTAAATATAATGTCTTTTAGTGTACTAATTTTGTGACATCCATAAAGCAATGGGAACTTTTCAATCTGTAAACTGTACAGAGCTAATGTATTTTATTTCATTAAATCACAACTGATCCATTAAATGCCATGGGATCTCTGATAGTCAATGATTATGTATACAAAGAAAATGTTTCCTCTCTTCTGCCATAACATCTTCCAAATCCAGGAGAAAAAAATGTAAGGTATTTTCTTTTTTGACAGAAAACAGTAAACAAGTTATAAGGGAAATCATAGCATTAGAAAAATTCTTCCATCATCTCACAAGAAAAAATACTGCTTTGGAATTACTGTGGTAGTATATTCTAATATAGAAAACTGAATAGTTTCTCTGGTGTGAATAAACTATAATAGTACATAAGATCCTAATGAGATAATTGACAATGTGAAATAGGAAGAAAGGGGCTAAAGGTGTAGGTAAAGTGGGAAGGGTAGGGGAAGGGTAATAAGGGAAAAGAAAAAAATATGAGAAAATGAAAAAATGGAAATGAAGTGTTTGTAAAGGGGGAGGGGAGAAGGGGGTGAAGGGAGGGCAGGGACAAGGGGGAAAAATGAGAACCAAGACCTGTCATGTAGAGGTACAAGATCCCAATGCTGAACATAACTGTACTGTATCCCTAAAATGAGGAAAAAAAAAAAAGAAAGAAAACTGCACTGCATTTGACTAGTATATGTGATACATGTTCCTTCTTACACTTTTAAAATTGTCCTGCCTTTATCTGTCATTATTTAAAAGATGTAGCTATCAATCCCACGAAGAAGCATTTGAAGTAGAAAAAAAGAGAGGAGACAGAAAAGAACAGCAGCTTGACAATTCTCAAGACTTACTCTCGGGATTAGTAAAACTTGTTAATTTAGCTAAGTTAGACTAAAAATAAGAAGACTGACCTCAGAAGAATTAAAACAAGCTCAAGATGAATACAGGTCTTCCTCCCACTGGAACTGGAACACTGCTATACTGTGTTCTACACTGTTAATGTTTCCTAAGGAACTATGAATGAACAAACACAACCCACTCAATTTACCAAGTCACCAAACCCACTCAATTCACATAACCCACCCTATTTACCAAATCACCCGAGGTGTGTTAACGTTTTTTTTTTAAAGCATGTAGCACGGATGGAATTCCCCATCCATTCCCTCTTTCTCTACGATGTAGGTATCAAAGAAATAGGATGGTGCTGAAAGAAAAAAACAAACAAACAAACAAACAAAAAACACTACAAATAGGTACCTACCTGTAGTGACATTAAAGGAGGAAAAACTCAAAAAAAGCTTCAAAATAAACTGTTTACATATGAATAATATCTACCACATAATTACATATTCTAAAGAAACTAGAACCAAACCCTGATGTATTTGTAATAAATACATGTTCAAATTATACCTCCATAGAAATATTCTGATCTTAGAAAGCATTTAAAAAGTCAGATTATGTTTTAAGAACATGGAGGCAGAAAGCAGTAATTAGAAAAAATAAACTTACCAAATATGTTAGTGGAGTGTCCTTTCCGTGCAATAGGTTTGAGTTCATTATGCCCCCATCCATACGTTCTGTAATTATCCCAGGCATGTTTCATCATCTAAGAGGAAAATGATAATTCATCAGTTTAAATTATTCACAGACTTTTTTTTTCATGAAATTAAGGGTTCCGTTACTATATCCTTACCATTCTATTAGGTCTCCTACTTTCTGGTATTACAATTAACACTTGCATTAGTGTGAAAACATTAAAAAATTAGGTATAATAAAGTCTTTTTCTTGAGAAGGAAGGTGTCTACTGGACATTCTTTCCTTTTAAAAACTGCCATTACTTTAGGTAACAATTCCATTTCTTTCACTGAGATTATGAGAGCTTTCAATCAATGGACCTGGCTTCTACTACCACTTGGTTCAGTCTGGTTAGAAAAATCCAGAGATCACAGAGCAGCAAAATTTAACTCTGTTACAACAGTAGCCTAGATAATGGACATGGTTATGTTCCAATGAAACTTTATTTTTAAAAAAGAGGCAGCTAGCAGGACTTGGCCCACAGGTTGTAGTTTATCAATCTCTGCCCCAGACAAAGTGACTCAGTACAAGACTTTTTACACACACTGTTATTATATACTGGAAAACAGGGGGACTCACTTTATTTTGAGATCTCGAGGACTATAATATATAATCCTGGAGTTGATAATGACAAACTCTCTCCCAATAAAACAAAAACAACAAAAGGAAAGAGACAGAGATGAATACATTTCAATAATTACAACTACAAACAAATTCAGCCAATGCTAAAATCCCTAGTTTAGAGCCAGTAAGTGAATAAAATATTTTATAAAAATTGAGTTATTTACTATATATTAAATACTGATAAGAGTTAGATCCCAAGAACTGGGGGGGGGATATGCTCTTTTTAAAAATTTGTTATCTACTATATTCTAAATACTGATATACATGGATTTTTTTTTCTTTTTTAGTTATTAGTACATCCTTCATGTGGTGTTGGCAGATGTAACATAATGCATCTTAATTCCTTTTCTCATCCCCTTTCCCTCCTCCTCCTCCCCCACCCACCCATCTCTTGATCACTTTCCTTTTTAATTTTTTTCATTCCTCTCTCTTGATCTTTTGATCTCCTTCCCCTCAGAATGATCTAGCACCTTACTTCCTATTGGTATCTTTTATTTTCCTCTCCATTTTTACTGTTTCTCATGTGAGAGAAACTATATGATATTTAATATTGTTGAAGGATATCATGGCTTATTCCTTTAAAGATGATGGCTATAATGCTAGCTATAAAAAACAGGGGTCCCTAACCCCTAGGGTCATAGGTCAGTATCAGTTCATGGCCTGTTAGAAACCAGGCTGCAAAGAAAGAGATGACCAGCAGGTGAGCAAGGTATGCTTCATCTGAATTCATAGCCAGCCATTCCCCTTCACTCTCATTACCACCTGAGCAGAGGTACTAGATTCTCATGGGAACATGATTGCTATAGTGAATTCTGCATACTAGGGATCTAGGCTGCATACTCCTTGTAAGAATCTACTGCCTGATGATATTAAGCAGATCTGACCCAGTAATTCTAGGCTTGGGAGTGGCTGCAAATACACATTAACATTAGCAGAGAGATTTGACCCTAGAAAGACCATAACCAATTGCTTACAGACTCAAATCAAAACCCTATGAGTGAAGGGCAAGAGACAATTTAAGCTACACGTGCTGATAGACTCTAGTGGCAAGAGAGCTGACATGCTTCACTTGTACAAGTGTATTTGGTGGCAGGCTTTAAATCAGAATCTGACCCGTTAGTCTACTCTTCGAGAGCACATTATTTACCACTTCTATCCACCCTTCTTTCCATCCTGTGCACTTATCTCACAGTTTTTTAGGTACATAAGCTAACTGCAACCAAATGAGTTAAACAATAAATATCACTGGAGAGCTACTTTGAAAGAGGGCAAGATCCAATGATGCAACAGTAGAAGACTTTAAAACTTTCAACAAAAGGTGAATTTAAAAGAAAATACCAAAACTTCTACTTAAATTACAGGTTTATTCCAACAGGTGATTCACATTCCCTAAGCCTGCTTTATATATGTGGTAAATGACTATCCAACAAAGTTATGAAACCTTCAAAATTGCTTTGCTATATGGAGACTGAGCATAAAACGCAAGCCTTTGAAGTTTCTCAAAAATTTTTTAAAAAAATAAATACAAGAAAAGCTAATTATTGAAGACCAAGACTTCGTCAAATATGTCTGCACCAAGAGCCTCATTTTTAGTGGGTAACACACTGTTAAAGCTAAGAAGCCCTTTACAACTGGTAAATAGTTGATGGTGCCCACTGCTAAGGATACTTGTCATGAACTTTTAGGAAAAGCTGCAGTTCAAAAGGTGGCATGTGTTCTTTTGGCTAGTACCGTAACTAGATAAGCTGATGAAATAGCTAAGAACATTCAGTGACCAAGATATGAAATCCAGATTGATGAGTACCAATACTGTCAACAGGGCAATGGTACTTATTTTTTGTGCAATACATTTATGAGGATATGCATGATGTTATATGCACTTTTGCTGCCAATAAATACAACTGCTACAGAATTACTCAAGTCTTTGAATGACTATAAATCAGGAAAACTATACATGCACAGTCAGTGTGGCTGCCATGACTGGATAGCTTTCTAGTTTCACTACTTGGGTTAAAGAGGGTGCTTCTGAATGTGAGTCTACACACTGTGCTATCCAGGGAAATGTTGGCTAGCCAAAAATGTCACCTGAACTTAACAGCACTTTCCAGGACATGATTAAAATTATCAACCACATTAAAGTACATTCCCTTAACTCACATGTGTTTGCTCAGCTCTGTGAAGAGACAGACTCCCAGTACACATCTGTCCCCTTACACACAGAAGTGAGATGACTTTCTAAAGGTAGATCACTAGCCAGTTTTTGAGCTGCAAGACCTATTCCAGAGATTTCTTTTAGAAAAAGTCACCACTGATATATTTTAGTGACAAAGAATGGAATATAAAACTTGCTTGTGTGACATATTCAACCTGCTCTGTGTTAAAGTCAGCAGATCAAGTAGATGTAGTCAAAACCAAACTGGAACTACTGGGGCAATGTGTGAATATCAAGTTTTTCACAAGTCACGGCTGTCTTTCTCCCACCTATTTCACTTTTCAAAAGAGTTAGAGAATTACTTCTCCACTGCAGAAGACCCCTCCCAAACTGGGAAGGAATGGACTCACAATTCATGTGTAAATAAGCCAAGTGAATTGAATTTGTGCTAAGAGGATCAACACATTTGACAGTCGCCTTAAAAGTATGTTTGAGATAACTTCAAATCACCATATGCTATGGATTAAAGTCAAGGCTGAATATCCTGAGACTACTGCAAAAGCACTGAAAAGCTTGCTTCCTTTTCCAAAGTCCTATCTTTGTGAAGCAGGGCTCCCTAGTGTGACAGCAAGCAAGTGAGATTACAGAGTAGACTGGACACAACATACTCCAGGCGTCACTGTCTCCCATCACCTGCAGATGGGAACATCCAGTTGCAGAGCTCCCTCCAATTCTGCATTATAGTGGGTCGTATAATTATTTCATTATATATTACATGTAATAATAGTAATGAAGTATACAATAAATGTAATATACTTGAAAGTGCAATAAATGTAATACATTTGCATCATCCCAAAACCACCTCCCATCAGGTCCATGGAAAACTATCTTCCACAAAACTGGTCCCTGCAGGCAAAAAGATTAGAGACCACTGCTTTAGAACTATTTTTCTGAGAAGATTAGCATAGTATCCAGAAGATTCCATATAAATGAATATTTAATTGTTTATCAACAGTAAATTATAAGTGAATTCTACTTTATTTTACCAATCTACAGTATTTCTAAAATGCTGAATTTCAGATTTCTGAAACAACTGTGTGCCATCACATTCAAAACAACTTTATATTTAAAATCATATAATAATTGCATATCATCAATACTAAGAAACAGACAGACCTCTAATTCTTACTGCCAACCTGGAAACTAAACTACAGCTAAAATCCAAAAAGAAAGAAGATCGAAGTGTTACACTACAGATGGCATGAATGTATATATTTATATCTAATCAAGTACACATCTATACTAGTCTATGTCACAATCTAACTTATTACCTCTTTAATTTTTTCCCTTTTCTTTCTTATCTCAGTATCTTCTGGGTCTCCACCATTGATTCCTACAAGGTTCGGAACAGGGACTGGCGGCAGTGGCTTGTTCTCTTTTGTCTTCATTTCTTGGACTACCTTATTTTTCTCTGTCTGAATTTCTGCACGAATTTCCTCTCTTGACTTTCTTAATTTTTCTTTTGCTTCTTCCAGAGCCTTTTCATGATCAGCTCGAATTTTATTTCGAAGACGTTCTTCTTCTTCCCTGTGAGTAAAGAAGAAAAAAAACCTGGTAAGAATGAGTCTGCCTTGGTCCAGGGATTTAGCTCAGTGGTGCCACCATCTGCCTTGCAAGCACAAGGTCGTGAGTTCAATCCCTGGTACCAAAAACCAAACAAACAAAAACAAGTGAGTCTGCCTAAGAATGTCAACCTTTAAACGTAAAATTTAAAAGTTCCTCCACTAAACCCTGACAACAGTTTTCTAATCTTGCCATGAAAAGTTAAAAATTATCAGTGAGACAGACTCAGATCTGCCCAAAGAAAAGGGTAAATGTAACTTCATGTAAGAAAGAACATGAACCCCATACAATAAAGAGTAGGAAAGAGAAAATCTAGGAACAAAGTTCCAATTTCAGGTCTAAGTAAGAACAGAAAATGTCAATCAGTAACTTATTGATAGATACATGCAAATACATGCATACATGCCCACATACAGAAATGTGCAAAACTAAAGGGAGGAAAACAAGTAAAATATAAAATTATGTATCAGAGAGGGGACAAAAATATAAACATAGAACCAAAGAAAAAGAGACAAAAGGAATGGTAAATTTTTGACTTGTTATGTGTAGAAAGTAGCTTTGTTAAAGCCTATATCCAGATGTCCCTCCAAAGCCTTACGCACTCAAAGGTGGGGTTTCTAGGAGGGAGTTGGAACATGGATGTGTGATAATAGATCATGATTATGTGATAACTAGATTAGCCCACTGATAAGTTTAGCCTAGTTCTAGGTGGGGATAACTGTTTGTGGGTGGCATAATCAGTAGGCTTACAGCCTGAATGGAATAAAAGGGGAAAGGAAGGCTCACTGCTGGCTGTTTCCTGTCTGCCATGCCATGGACTGTTTCTCCTCTGCCACGCACCTCTGCCATACTGTCCTACCTTGGAGCCAGCTGACTGTGGACGAAAGCTGTATAAACTGTGAGCTAAAATAAACCCTCTCTCCTTTACCTCGTGGTTTTCAAGTATTTTGTCCCAGAAACAAGAAAGTAACTAAGACAGATTTCACAGTGTAATGATTCCCAACTCATATGGGAATCACTACTTAAAACTCTTCTTAAACCCTTTGTTAAAAATACAGATGCCAATTTAGTAGGTCTGTATGAAATGTATGAATCTGTACTAGCTGAATGTCCTTTTTGACAAATTATTGGGACAGAAGTACTTCAAATTTCATATTTGCAGGAGGTAGGGATAAAGTATTTACTGCCACTCTAGAAAATGTCTCATTTGCTTTAAAAAGCAAAATACAACTATCATAGAATCCAGCAACTTCACCCTGGTCATTTATCTCAATGAGATGAAGGCTCATGTTCATACAAAAACCTATAATCCAAGAAAGTCACTAAAAGGCAAATATTATTTGATTCCACTTACATGAAGCACTTAGAGAAGGTAAAACTAACGCTGTAACATTAAAATAGCAATATCCAAGGATCGGGTAAAACAGGAGTTACTGTTTAATATGTGCCAAGTTTCGGTTTCAATAAGATGAAAAGAGTTCAGAGGTGTATAGAAATGATGTTTGTACAATATGAATGTAGGTAAAGCCACTGAGTGAATCAAAGAGGAAATGACATATAGACTGATCTGTTCAAGAGATTAGGAGAGGGCTGGGGATTTAACTCAGTGGCACTGCGCCTACCTCACAAATGCAAGGTCCTTAGTTTGATCCCCAGTACAAAAGAAAGAAAAGAAGAGAAGAGGGGAAGAGAGGAGAGGAGAGGAGAGGAGAGGAGAGGGGAGGGGAGGGGAGGGGAGGAGACTCGGGGAGCTGGGGTCATCATCAAACAAACAGGAGCTGAGTAAAGTCTCACATAATATAAGCAAAGTAGACACAAACACCACCCAAGAGTTTTTCAATCAGTACCCTTGTATACCAAAGGGAAAAAAACTTATAATCTAGTATTAAAAATAAAAAGTTAAATGTCTAGAAGAAAAAAAAAATTGAATCACTCCCTAGCAGAGAGGAGAGCGAGATGAAGGTCATAGAAGTGTCAGACAGGGACACGCAAGGTCATTAAAGAGGTAAGGAGAATCCATGGGGCCTAGACCAAATGTGAAAGGAGTAGGAGGTACCAAGTTGGCCTCTGAGTAAATCCAAGAAGAAATGACATACAAGCTGGATGAAGTTTTAGAAAAGATAAGAAAGGTAGACACAAGTAGTAACCCCACACACACAAACCCAGACCATTCCAATTACTTTCTCACCCTTACCAACAGAAAAACAGTACACACAACTAAGAGAACAGATAATAATTCATCTATGATAATCAAGTCTTTCCCAGAAGACTCTACAGCTAGAGAGTGACCACATAACCCTATCCCAACCAATAAGACCAAGGAGACTACTAGGAAATGTTTTCCTCTGTGGAGTAAAACATGGAAAGGGGCAGTTGCACAAAGGACCTTTTGGCTGCTAAGTCTAAACCTATCCAACTATTTATTCCCATCTTCAAATATAATTAATCATAATGCCTAAATCTTGCAATCAAGAAGCAGTACATCTGAAGATAAACAGCCAAAATGATTCAAGAGAGATAAGAAAGAAAGTGCTTGCTATTGATGAGTTACTGTCAGGACCCTCATCTGCCTGTCTCCAAAATTCAGATTCTGTGGAGTTACTGTCAGTTCATTTAATTCAATTCCTCCATTTCCTTCCATTTCCCATCCTCTCATCTCCACTGTCATTATTCATCCAAGATGGTCTCTTTCCCTGAGGCTCTTGTTAGTATTTGAATTTTGATTTGACAAAAGTAAACAATCAAGTGATTGATTTTCTTCCCCAATTAGAATATTTAAATAGATTACATAAGAAAGCACTATCGAAGACAAACATACTGAATTATGTAAGCACCATTAAATCTACAATGAAATCTTATTTGGCAAATATTTAGATGACTAAAAGTATATCTTTTATATAGTCACTTACTCAGTACTAGTCTTTTCCTACAAACATGAAATCTCAGGCATTCTTTAACTCTCAGAACTGCCTCCAACATCTTTGTTTCTCTGCCATCCTTACACCACTACACTTTTAAGAGTACTACTGTACTTACTGTTTCTACTTCTTCCTACATCTCATCACTCTACTACCCACTGCCGCTAAAACTTAATAACTAAGTTTATTCTTCCTTTGAAATTGCTTCTTCCTCAAACCAGTCTTTACAGCAAGCCTGTGACTGACTTTACCACCTTCAAAGACTCCTCACAATGTTGCATTTCATCCTTTCAGTCACTTCTGCTCTTATTCAAAATACTTTCTACTCAATACCAATCCATCCTATTTTCTCAACTATTATGTCAAAGTATATATGGTCAGCTTTCACCAGGCAGCTATTCCAGATTCAAGTAGCTAACACTGCATAATACATTACCATAGAATATCTGCCAGACATCTCCAATTTTCATGTCCAATCAGAACTAAATGATTAGTATGAAAAAGGAGAATCACTGGCCAAGTTCATTCAGGAACACATATAGCAAAAATAACATTTTAGCAAAATGAGTCAACAATATTAGAAAATAGAAAAAAAGGTAATTAATTCAAATTAATTGGATTTATGTGGGATATATGAGGAGATAAATATCTCAAAATTTATCACTACCATTTATCCACTAATAAAAAAGAAAAGCATGGTCATTCATTAGAAACAGAAAAAGAAACCGATAAAATCCAACACCCATTCCTGCTACCAAAAACAGAAAGAATTCAGGCCCTTCCAAAGAGAAAAGTAGAACTTCAAACTAATAAAAGTTATCTTCCCAATCTACAGAAAATATTCTTAACTGTGAAACTACAGAAGCAATTCTCTTCAAAATGAGAGAAACAAATAAGAACACCAACTATCACAGCTTGTATTTGATAGTAAAAATCTTAGTCAACAAAATAAAACAAGAATAAAATATAAGGAAAGGGAATTTTTTAAATGCTGTACTCTGTCATAGGCAATATTGTGTCTACACAGAATATCCCAAAAGACTCTACAAATCATTACAAATAAGAGTACAACAAGGAGAAGAAGGAAACTACCTAGATAGATAACAGATAATCAGTAAATGTAATTTTCCTTCCCTTCCTACCTATTGAGTTCAACCGTTCTAGATTCAAAGTATTTATACTTTCACTGAAACTTTTTTCTACAGCAATACCACTGTTTACATCAGCTTTCACTCACATTCCATTACTTCCTTCCTAAGATTTCTAGCACATGTTTTATTTAGGTTTAAGAAATTTAAGAGCCCTCAAGACTTCAGATAACCGTTTAAAACTATTTTCAGTGAATTTTATTAAGGTGACTCTTACTAACCCTCTAATTCTAATAACCACTGCTCCTATGTACTAAAAACACATGATGAATGAATCAAGACTATCTCTTAAAAGATAAATGGCAACCTATATTTGATATTTTTAAAAATAGCATTACATATTAAAAAACCTTTCAGACATCTATGTTTTAGTAAGATTCAAGAAAAATTTCAGAGAATCCATGAAAGCACAATAAAAATACTGCAGTTGAAGCAGGTAAGAAACTAGTTACTTATGTACAATATAGGTCAAGAATGGTTTTAGGAAATTACTACAAGATAGTCAGCAACTGATTCAGAAAATACCAAAACATTAACTCCATACAGCTTACTGACAAGTGCTTGAAGGAACTTAAGCCCTTCCAAAACAACAGCAGCACCTTCAAAGTCATGAAGGAAGAGCTCCTTGAGCTCAGAGACAAGCATGAGGTAAAATGATGACAACTATTACTAAGGGGGTGATTCTCTGACACAAATTTACTCTATCTGCACAGAATAACACTGTTAGTATAAGACAACAAGGAATGTTCTGCTTGTTATCATTTTAAGTACAAATCATGTAATTTCCAGGACACTGACTGTAGTTAGCAAACAGTGCAACCTGCATCACACTTGGGCTCCCTATTCCATGACAATGAGTTCTATTCTTAAGACATGTTAATAGAGAAGCACATCTATT